GCCTGGACAAGAAGTTGTGCAGCATGCTCCGTTAGACAGGGCCTGATCTTTCTGAAGTTGTGCAATGCAAACCTGCAAGATCGAGCGGTCTTTGCAATGTGGTCTTTGAAGGTCAGCTGGTCATCAAAGGTTACACCAAGATTTCTGACCGAAGTTGATGGGGTAATTGTAGAAGAACCTAGCTCGATGGAGAAATCATACTGAAGAGTTGGAGTGGCAGGGAAGACAAGAAGCTCAGTCTTTGCCAGGTTGAGCTGTAGGTGATATTCTTTCATCCATGCCGAGATGTCTGCCAGGAAGCCCGAGATCCGTGCAGCTACCATTGGATCATCTGGTTGAAATGAAAGATAGAGCTGTGTGTCATCAGCATAGCAATGGTACGAGAAGCCATGTGCCTGTATGATGGGACCCAGTGATGTTAGGGTTAGGGTTAGGTCCAAGAACTGATCCCTGAGGAACCCCAGTGACAAGTTGATGTGCTTTGGATACCTCCCCTCCCCAAGCCACCCTGAAAGACCTACCAGTGAGATAGGATTCAAACCAGCGAAGAGGAATCCCTTTGATGCCCAGTGAAGAGAGGGCAGACAGGACGATCTGATGATTGACAGTGTCAAAAGCAGCAGATAGATCCAGCAGGATAAGAACTGATGATTTGGAATCAGCTTTTGCAATCCGCAAGGCTTCCATGACTGAGAGTAGCTCAGTCTCAGTTGAATGGCCACTCCTGAAACCTGACTGGTTAACATCCAGTTTGTTGTTCTGAGAAAGAAACAATGATATCTGGTTGAAAACAACTCTTTCGAGGGTTTTCGCTATGAATGGAAGGAGAGAGACAGGTCTGTAGCTATCTGTAAGTGAAGTGTTGAATATAGGTTTTTTTGAGCAGTGGGGTTACCCGAGACTGCTTGAATGCAGTGGGGAAGGTGCCTGTGAGGAGAGATGTGTTGATGATATGTGTGAGTGGTGGTAAAAGTGTAAATGGTAGGAGAAGCCATGTGCCTGTATGATGGGACCCAGTGATGTTGTGTATATGGAGAAGAGGAGGGGTCCAAGAACTGATCCCTGAGGAACCCCAGTGACAAGTTGATGTGCTTTGGATACCTCCCCTCCCCAAGACACCCTGAAAGACCTACCAGTGAGATAGGATTCAAACCAGCGAAGAGGAATCCCTTTGATGCCCAGTGAAGAGAGGGCAGACAGGACGATCTGATGATTGACAGTGTCAAAAGCAGCAGATAGATCCAGCAGGATAAGAACTGATGATTTGGAATCAGCTTTTGCAATCCGCAAGGCTTCCATGACTGAGAGTAGCTCAGTCTCAGTTGAATGGCCACTCCTGAAACCTGACTGGTTAACATCCAGTTTGTTGTTCTGAGAAAGAAACAATGATATCTGGTTGAAAACAACTCTTTCGAGGGTTTTCGCTATGAATGGAAGGAGAGAGACAGGTCTGTAGCTATCTGTAAGTGAAGTGTTTTATGTAGAGTTTTTTTCATCCATGATGAAAGCGGAGCGAGCTGTTGGAGAGTTGGATCTCCAAAAAATTACGCGATGAATCTGACATCAGGATGAGATTAGATTTCTCAGAGGACTTCTGAGTTACCTGAAAAGCAGTAATTATCTGATTCACGAACAAACGTAAAAACAATTAGTTAGTGAACTGTGCCGCGCTTTGTGGTTTTGACTCAAAAAGAACCGGTTCATAAGAGTAATTTGTTAATGAAGCCGACTACACTGGCATGCTGCGTGCGAGTGCAACCATTTATTAAAAGACGTGTTTGTGCCATTATTTTGCATTACGCTGTCATCGCCGCGGTTGAAAAGTAGCACATGAAACAGTGTTTACATTTATATGTTATTCTGTGATAATTCTGGGGTGGCAGGTGGGGTTGCACAGCTTTTTCTTAGGGTGGCAGTTGCCACCCCGGTAGATCCGCCCCGAGTAGGTGAACTTATGTTCGTAAAAACAATTAGTTAGTGAACTGTGCCGCGCTTTGTGGTTTTGACTCAAAAAGAACCGGTTCATAAGAGTAATTTGTTAATGAAGCCGACTACACTGGCATGCTGCGTGCGAGTGCAACCATTTATTAAAAGACGTGTTTGTGCCATTATTTTGCATTACGCTGTCATCGCCGCGGTTGAAAAGTAGCACATGAAACAGTGTTTACATTTATATGTTATTCTGTGATAATTCTGGGGTGGCAGGTGGGGTTGCACAGCTTTTTCTTAGGGTGGCAGTTGCCACCCCGGTAGATCCGCCCCGAGTAGGTGAACTTATGTTTGTTGCTATTGTGTTGGTCTGGTCTTCTGTCAGGAAAACACCGACTTAGAGGAAACTGGTATGTAAACTTAATAGTCATTTTTCCACTGTCGGGCCAGTGCAGGCCAGGGTTAACAATGAGCGAGGTGGAGCTATTAGCCTCGGCTATAAAGTGGCGAGTCCAAAAACATGCTGTGTTTTCCACTTGTAGACCAGGGGTGTATTCCAGAAAGCGGGTTTTGTTGGAAACTCAGAGTATGTTAACCCCAGAAAAGGGAAACTCAGAGTTTTTGGTTCCAATAAAAGACAAAATTAAACCTCTCAGTAAGCAACTTACTCTGTGAACCTAACCTGGGTTGCATTACCCAAAAGCATCGTTAGCTAACTATGGTCGTTAGTTCCATAGGATTTAGGATCCTGTAGATGAGGAGGCTGCATTAATTCATAGGGAGTTACATTTACATCAGGAGAGGATTTGGTTTTCTTTTATTTATTTATTTTTGCCATATCCACGTGCATATTTATTTGAGCGGTATTGTCACGAATCCAGTCTATGAACTTCCATTCACTCACCACCAGAGGTCACGCTCTCACTACATTGACTCTCACACCACACAGACTGCTACATGTCACTCCGGACTACAGTTTCCATCATCCATTGCACTGATTACACACACACAGCTGAATGCACTGATTACACACACACAGCTGAATGCACTGATTACACACACACAGCTGAATGCACTGATTACACACACACAGCTGAATGCACTGATTACACACACACAGCTGAATGCACTGATTACACACACACAGCTGAATGCACTGATTACACACACACAGCTGAATCCAATCAGACACGCTTTATAAGCCCTGGACTTCCTCCTTCAGCTCGCTGTGTATTGTATGTGCATATCGCTAGTCAGTGAAAGCGACATTACGGAGCCACACAGCTTTTTCTTAGGGTGGCAGTTGCCACCCCGGTAGATCCGCCCCGAGTAGGTGAACTTATGTTTGTTGCTATTGTGTTGGTCTGGTCTTCTGTCAGGAAAACACCGACTTAGAGGAAACTGGTATGTAAACTTAATAGTCATTTTTCCACTGTCGGGCCAGTGCAGGCCAGGGTTAACAATGAGCGAGGTGGAGCTATTAGCCTCGGCTATAAAGTGGCGAGTCCAAAAACATGCTGTGTTTTCCACTTGTAGACCAGGGGTGTATTCCAGAAAGCGGGTTTTGTTGGAAACTCAGAGTATGTTAACCCCAGAAAAGGGAAACTCAGAGTTTTTGGTTCCAATAAAAGACAAAATTAAACCTCTCAGTAAGCAACTTACTCTGTGAACCTAACCTGGGTTGCATTACCCAAAAGCATCGTTAGCTAACTATGGTCGTTAGTTCCATAGGATTTAGGATCCTGTAGATGAGGAGGCTGCATTAATTCATAGGGAGTTACATTTACATCAGGAGAGGATTTGGTTTTCTTTTATTTATTTATTTTTGCCATATCCACGTGCATATTTATTTGAGCGGTATTGTCACGAATCCAGTCTATGAACTTCCATTCACTCACCACCAGAGGTCACGCTCTCACTACATTGACTCTCACACCACACAGACTGCTACATGTCACTCCGGACTACAGTTTCCATCATCCATTGCACTGATTACACACACACAGCTGAATGCACTGATTACACACACACAGCTGAATCCAATCAGACACGCTTTATAAGCCCTGGACTTCCTCCTTCAGCTCGCTGTGTATTGTATGTGCATATCGCTAGTCAGTGAAAGCGACGTTACGGAGCCATTTCGTTAGTCATTGTTTATTTCCAAGCCCTAGTCTTAGTCTAGTTTTGCCTTGCCTGGTTTCCGGTCCTTTGACTATTGCTCGTGCTTACAGCCATACCACCCAAACGAACTTGACAGAACCTGAAGTTTGGTCCTTACATGAAGACGTAAAGGCTTCAGTATCTATATATTTTATTTACCAATGATTTACATTAAAAACAGTAATTTATTCATTTGTGTCAGCATGCTAAATCAAACTGATATTTCTCATTATTTCACATAACATGAGAACATTTACAGCTGCTCAGTTTATTTGTGATGACTAGAATGCACAAAATAACTCTATTAGGGCTTTTAAGTCCAAATGCAAACACGATAGAAAAATGTTTGTAAACCCTTGGATGTGTATGTCAAATCTCTTTAAAAAGATTGAGCATTTATATGTATTTTCCACGATGCACAGAAAAGTAGCACATTCATTGCTTAGGTAGTCCTAATTGTAGACCAGACAAAAGAAAATTGTGTGTGTTGCAGGATTTTATCAAGGGTGGCAGATGGGATAATTGATGTTGGGGTAAGAATTTCAGAGAAGGTGAACAGTGAGATTAAGTGAAGGTGGAGCCCGGTGGTTCCGTGACAGCGAGGAGCATCAGAGGATTAATCTTAGTTTGGTTTACTATATAAAACGATATAAAATTGGTTAAAACATTGCAATTATTTCAGTAAAGAATGTAAGCAAACATTTTTCCCCAAATTCACGCAATAATAATATAAATTATCATTTCAATATTTTATAATTGCAACTTTATATCCAAAAATACTAAAAGTAGTATTTCTTCTTCTTATTATTATTATTGATGTTAAATAAAATAGCTGTCACTGTCAGTCTGACACAGAATTTATTAAGGAGCACCCCACCCATTTGTGAATCAATGTTTCATTCCAATTATACCTGACCAATCTTTCTTGGTGTTGGATCTTCTTCTTCAACAAATATCTGGCTCCAAATCCAGCCTCGTCTCACTCTCAGATGGGACCCGCGAGAGATTTTACTTGACCGGAGCTCATGCTGTTTTTTTGAGATTATAAAGTCACCCCCTAGCCAGCCAGGCATGATGGAGATCATGAGAAGCACATGAAGAGCAGAACAGTTGTCCATTGTTGAGAAGTTCTTTGAATCAGTATTTCACTGAATGTTATGGCTAGATGTCATGTTGATGATGCAAAGGGAGGACACAGACTCAAATAGCATGTGTGCCAAAACTCCATTAGAAGGAAATGATGACTCTTCTGTTATTGAGAAACAGGAAGTATATTGTTAGAGTAATTTATAAGGTTGTGGTTAAAGTGAATATAATTTTTCAATAGACTGAACTTTTGGAGTCAATCTGGGGCACACATAACCAATTAGAGTGGGAATTCTTGCTAATCATAAAACCAGGTTTAATCTGTTTTTATTTTCTGTACTGACTTTCAGGAGCAATATCTAACCCTAACAGATTTGAACATATTTAAAATTTGTATAATGTGATAGACAGAGTTCATAATACTTTCGCTGGCAGTCATAACTATTCTCAACTAAAATGCTTAACCAAAAATGCAAAGGGCAGACCTTTTTTGTGCATGGATAAATCATTTATAAAAAACACTGCAATATTCTATTAAAAGATGTGGTTAAAGTGAATATAATTTTTCAATAGACTGAACTTTTGGAGTCAATCTGGGGCACACATAACCAATTAGAGTGGGAATTCTTGCTAATCATAAAACCAGGTTTAATCTGTTTTTATTTTCTGTACTGACTTTCAGGAGCAATATCTAACCCTAACAGATTTGAACATATTTAAGTTAGTTATTTCCTAACTGAAATAACGTCTTAGAATATCTTTTTGGCAGATAAATGTAACAGTAACAATAGCTTATCACTAGTATCTCAGTCAACCTGCAATATTTACCAAAAATGTAACTTAAATTTTGCAAATCAAATGTCAAAGGCAAGCCTCCAAGGTTAACAAAAAACACAACACAGCGACATACTGGTGAGAAAATAAGAGGCTGTTTTTCTTTAAATTTATGTAAATCGAGGTGAGGCTATATATAAATATAATCACAATTTAAATTAACAGTTTTTTATTTAATATTTTTTAAATAAACATGCATTTGTGATTAAATGCTAAATTAACAAATACTAATTTGGGATTACTATTTGTCATATTTTATGTGTGCTTCTTTAAAGGTACTTTACTCTGGAGTTGTTTAATAAAAAACCATGATGACAAGACATAAAATAAGCCTTTCAGAGTCAAATACATTCTACTGGTTAATGTTGAACCATAGCATTATTTTGACTTCCTGCACACCTTTTCATCACTCTTTTTACAAATCTAAAATGCTTTACCCAGTCAGCTAGCTCTATTGAAAATAGATATACATATATATCTCAAACATGTGTTTAAAATTGGGTATATTTTAATGTTTAGTATTTTAAATGTGTATTTCTAATACTGCACACAACTTTTTTGAAAAGACTGCGAAGACACAACTGAATATTTTCAAAGGTTATCCCATCCTACAGTCAAATCTTCAGCACATTTTAATTAGTCATTATGGGATTCATGTTGTGATGTGTTGTTTACTGTTATGCATCATGGTAATGAAACCCTGTGTTTTTGAATTGTAACTATATTTAAAGTTAAGAAAAGACATTTATTCATGTAAAACTGTTTTAAAGATAATATGAGCAAAAGTTAAAATGTTGTTTAAGTACACTAAGAAGTTTTGAATAACTTTGTTTTTAAATATTTAGAAAATAAATAAGCCTTTCAGAGTCAAATACATTCTACTGGTTAATGTTGAACCATAGCATTATTTTGACTTCCTGCACACCTTTTCATCACTCTTTTTACAAATCTAAAATGCTTTACGCAGTCAGCTAGCTCTATTGAAAATAGATATACATATATATCTCAAACATGTGTTTAAAATTGGGTATATTTTAATGTTTAGTATTTTAAATGTGTATTTCTAATACTGCACACAACTTTTTTGAAAAGACTGCGAAGACACAACTGAATATTTTCAAAGGTTATCCCATCCTACAGTCAAATCTTCAGCACATTTTAATTAGTCATTATGGGATTCATGTTGTGATGTGTTGTTTACTGTTATGCATCATGGTAATGAAACCCTGTGTTTTTGAATTGTAACTATATTTAAAGTTAAGAAAAGACATTTATTCATGTAAAACTGTTTTAAAGATAATATGAGCAAAAGTTAAAATGTTGTTTAAGTACACTAAGAAGTTTTGAATAACTTTGTTTTTAAATATTTAGAAAATGTTTATTTAATTAAATATTACTGACAAGCTAACCAAAAATATGTATCTAATTTATTCTGATTTTTAGTACAAGTATGATTTTAAAATCTGTTAAGGAGGTTAGTCACACATACAATCCAAATATTTGTCAATATGTAATGGTAATGTTTTTGAACAAAGTGTCAAGTATAAAAAAAGAGCTCACCTGTATCTCTGAACAATATCAGCAACTCTCTCAAAATCACCATCAGGCTTTCCTCAGTTGTTTATTAACACAATTTAGATCTGTTAACTGGTCACAAACTGCAGTTCTAATGTTTACAGCTCTCAAAATGTCCCTTCGTCCCTCCAATGACCACCTCCCATTTCTCCCCCATTTGTCTTTTTTCCTCATACATTCTGGAGGAGAGCAAACAGTGCTTTTATTGTCAGAGCACAGTGACACACACATCATTCTTCTTCATGCAAACAGCCTAGACCAGTGGCTGCACATCTCAAACCTCTGTTTCCAACAATACAGCATTTATTAGCTTTATCCCACTGCAGGCCTGCAGTACATTCATCTGAGTGTGAACTGTTCCAGAGACTGAAAGGAAGAATGTTTCTGACATTTAAATGCCCCATGAGCCCCTTTTTCCTTATTAACCCACAGGCATTATGACACCACGTTCAAAAACAGGAACATATATATATATATATATAAAAAAAAAGAAATAAGTTAAACAACTGATAACCAAAATAACCTGCCTGATTTATCTCAAATGCTCTGTGTCCCCATAAATACAAATGAACTAGACAAAATGACTAGCAACATGGGCACTATATTCTCTAATACATTAGAAGCTGTTGCCCCCATCAAATTAAAAAAGGTTAGAGAAAAATGTACAGTGCCATGGTACAACAGTAATACCCTCTCTCTCTAAAAAGAAACTCGTAGTCTTGAGTGCAAATGGAGAAAAACGAACTTTGACATTTTTAGAATTGTGTGGAAAAACAGTATGTCCAGCTATAGACAGGCTCTAAAAGCTGCCAGGGCTGAGCATATCCTCAAACTCATAGAAAATAACCAAAACAATCCAAGGTTTTTATTTAGAACAGTGGCTAGATTAACAAATGACCAGACGCCACCCGATCTAAATATTCCCTCACAGTTTAATAGTAATGACTTTATGAATCTATTCACTGATAAAATGCATAACATCAGAAATACAATAGCAAATGTAGATTCTACAGCGTATAATACTTCAGCTTCATTCATCGCACCAAAAGATAAACTGCAGTGCTTTACAGCTATAGGACAGGAAGAGCTAAATAAACTTATCACTGCATCTAAACCAACAACATGCCTGTTAGATCCTGTACCCACTAAATTACTGAAAGAGTTGATGCCTGTAGCAGAAAAAAACGCTTCTCAATATTATTAACTCATCGTTATCTTTAGGTCACATCCCAAAACCATTCAAGCTGGTGGTTATTAAGCCTCTTATTAAGAAACCACAACTAGATCCTAGTGAACTGGCAAATTAAAGACCCATTTCAAATTTTCCGTTAATGTCTACATTTTTAGAAAAAGTTGTGTCTGCTCAATTGTGCTCCTTCCTGCAAAAAAAGATCTCTATGAAGAATTTCAGTCAGGTTTCAGGCCCCACCAAAGCACAAAAACTGCACTTGTTAAAATTACAAATTACTTGCTTTTTGCGTCAGACCAAGGCTGCATCTCATTGCTAGTTTTACTTGATCTTAGTGCTGCTGTGTTCTCAAAACTCTTGCAATTTGATAATACCTAGAATATAAAAAATCAACTGCGGGTGGCAGATCCTTCTCCTATTTAGCGCCCAAACTCTGGAATAACCTACCTAACATTGTTCGGGAGGCAGACACACTCTGTCAGTTTAAATCTATATTAACACATAACACACTAACACATTTATAATACTCAAATTCGTTTAAGGATTTTTAGGCTGCATTAATTAGGACAACCGGAACCAGGAACACTTCCCATAACACCCGATGTACTTGCTACATTGTTAGAAGAATGGCATCTACGCTAATATTAGTCTGTTTCTCTCTTATTCCGAGGTCACCGTAACCACCAGATCCAGTCTGTATCCAGATCAGATGGTCACTGCAGTCACCTGGATCCAGTACGTATCCAGACCAGATGGTGGATCAGCACCTAGAGAGGACTTCTACAGCCCTGGATGTCAGCGGAGATCAGAACAACTAGATGAGCCCCAGAGACAGATCCCCAGTGAGGACCTTGTCTCCTAGACAGCCACTGGAACAAGACCACAGGAACCAGTGGAGTCCTCTGCACAATGTGACATTGCTGCAGCCTGGAATTGAACTGCTGGTTTCGTTCGGCCAGAAGAGAACTGGTCCCCGTCTGAGCCTGGTTTCTCCCAAGGTTTTTTCTCCATTCTGTCACCGATGGAGTTTTGGTTCCTTGCAGCTGTCACCTCTGGCTTGCTTAGTTGGGGACGCTTAATTTCCAGCGATATCGTCGACTTGATTGCACAGACACTAATTAAACTGAACTGAGCTGGATGATGACATCACTGAATTCAATGATGAACTGCCTTTAACTGAAATTTGAGTGTTTACTATTGTCATTTTGCCTTATTGACACAATATTGTCCTAATTAATGCTGTTCAGTTGCTTTGACACAATCTGTATTGTTAAAAGCGCTATATAAATAAAGGTGACTTGACTTGACTTGATAGAATGGTAAAATACGGGACAATCCTGGGATAAATGGTTTGACAGGTATGCCTCTCACACCGTTGCTATGTGACAGGAGTGGTAATCAGGAACCCCTAGTGGCGCAATAAGGAAATCCTGCAGAGGCTGAGCATCCTTCATGCACTTCGAAGGGTCCTTTGTGCACTTCGGAGGCATGGCCTTTAAAATGCACACTCTTCACATTGGGACACAGCTGCTGTCTTTGCACTTGACTACATATATGACATATTTCCTGTATTTGGTCGAAGTGTTCAAGTGTGCAGGAAGACCACAAGTGTGTGTAGAACTTTTCATTACCTGATGGGACACAATTATAGTGTTGTAAAAATGCTAGTGTTTACAGAGCTTTATTTTTATTTTCAATACTCAATATTTCAAAATCAGTTTCTAAATGTCTTTTCATTAGTCCCTATAACAGATGACAATTTAATTTTGTGGTGCTTCTAATTAAGTGATAAAAAGCAGTTGCAAATGTTAAACAAAATAAATAGAACCACTTCACATTTGCACCAATAAAAAGTGCAACTCTTTGTTTTATTACCAAATTATATGTAATATCTAATTATTATTATTTAACATACATTGGAAAGGTTTCCATGACCTCTCGCAAGATCTCAGCAAAAAGTCTCACGATTTATTTCCAGAACAGGATGCATGATGGGATACACTAAGCCTCAAATACCACTCCAGATTTAGGGTGCTTCTCAATATCCCTCCTCGTTTCCTTGTTCCTCCATCCTATGACCCGGAAACTGATCGAGCTCAGCCATCCTGAAGGACATCTCAATTCTCTTATTGCACCGTGAGGAGGCGAGGATCGAGGAGTGAGTATCCTCTCCACAGGTGTATCCTTTGCGTAAGTGATTTTCATTGAAAAACCTGATGCACGTATAAATTCTCCTCCCCCTTCACATCTGTTGTAATAATATTAATTTATATTTTACCTTTGCAGTTTAGAGACATACAATATGTGCAGAGCGGGGGTCCCTGGGACTGGAATTGAGAACCACTGATTTAAACCCTTGATATTCAACCTTCTCTTAAATGTTGTCCAAATTAGACAAACTGAGTTTGATCAACAAAGTTTTTTTTAATGCAAGTTATGCCAAGTAATTATGTACTGAAAATATCATTTTTAAAATGTCATTGTCAACATTTTTAAAGGGGACATCGAATGGAAAATTCCCTTTTTACATGGCGTTTGAATATACAGTAAATGTGTCTTAGCAGTGTGTGTACACAACCACCCTACAATGATAAAAATCCATTCATTCAATTTTTTAATCCCCCAAAAACCTAAACCATCTCAATTATCAAACATTTTGATTTTCTGAGCAATATGACATTGTACTGCTCAGGCTCCGCCCATGACCACTGACTGATTGTATTAACATATCTCGGCCCTCAGCCAGTTGTATGCTGCCCATCATTTCCTCCATGCTCAAGCAGCTGCAGCGACAACAAAGTCTTGTTAGCAATGCAGGGGTTTTGTAGTTGGATATGCCATTGTTGCGCACAAGGTGTTTGTCACAGCTCCAAACTTATTTGTTAATTAATGATGTCATCAGCGACTAGTCGACTTCGACTCGACTTTCATCACAAAAGTTGACTTAAAAAAATCAGAAGTCATTTAACTCCTATGGTGTACTGTTGTGTCCCACCCATGTTCTTTGCAATTGTAGCATATTGTATATATGGCTGTTTTTTCCCTTCTGAGCCTGTTAGGGGAATTCTCCTTTGGTCTTTGTCTCCTTTTGTTTATGGCTTTGTCCCTTTTGTATAAATGTCCTCTTACATTTGTGTGTTGTATTACTGCAGTATAAATTGCATTGTCTTAACTACTTGTTCCTTTTTGTCTTTAGATTAGTTTCGTTAATGGGTATGTAAATATGTGCAGTTGTGGTCTTTTCATACTACTTTAGTGCTCTTTGGTTAAGATTAAATTTTTGTAAGTATTCATGTAGTATTTATTTATTTATTTATTTATTTATTTATATATATATATATATATATATATATATCACTGTGCTGTTATCACCTTTGTTTCTGCCTTTTGAGTTTTAGAGGTTGTTTCCATACAGTTTGTTCAAGCCTCTTGTTTCATTGGTATGTTTCTCCCCCTCCCCATTGTTTGGTTTATTAACTTTCACTTGTGTCCCTTTTAATTGTAAGTAGTTTTTTTT